TTTCCACGTTTAGTTACTTATTATGATGCTTAGGATTCTTTCATTCCTAGTTATTAGTTACCACAGACTGACTGAAGGATACAAAACACAAAATGTTTTAAAATGTTTACTATTCTGTACGAAGGCTAACTAACTAGACATGAAAAGAATATAAACTCCGACCACATCCAAGTCGATAATATGAAAATCAAACGAACAGAAACAAATAAGTACTTGGGTGCAGACTTCAACTGCTCCAACATGCTGAGAGAAGAAATACAATCTAGAAATAAAGTATACTATGCCCTTCAATATCTGCTAAAGTCAAAGTGTCTGTCTCGCAACACCAAGATCAAAATATATAAAACGTTGATAAGACCAGTCGTTTTATATGGCTCTGAAACTTGAAGCAGAAATAAAAGAGATGATGCCTTATTACGACAAATCTTTGGACCCTTTAAAGATGTTAACAGTGGGGAATGGAGAGTGAGAAGCAACAACGTAACACACAATCTGTTTAAATCATCATTGATTACTGGCATCATGAGAGCTAACAAACTAAAATGGTTGGGGCATATTGAAAGAATGTCAGATGACAGAGAAGTAAAACTGTATACACCTGAGAGAGGAATGGGCGTAGACCACGAGGCAGACAAAAAAGAAGTTCGAGAGATAATGTCCAGCGAGACCAGCAAACAACTGGTGTCAAAAATTGTGAAGATAAAGCCAGCCAGAGAGATGAATGGAGACGAGTGATATCTGCAGCGGCAAACCTCGAGTTCTCAGAATGCTAAAGAAGAAGGTGATTATTCTGTGCTACTTTATGTGAAGTAAAAGTTCAGCGTACATTTGACATTATTAATGTTTTTTTTAGAGATATATTTGAAATGAGGCAATAATATTGGAAGCCAGATTTTTCCCTTCTGTAATTTCGAAACTGCCTCAGTTCACATACGCACCCTTTCGCGTGTTCGCCATTAAAAGGGCATATGAAACTGTGTTGTGGTTTACAGCTAGACCAAAAACATCCGATTTTAGCGAACACCTAATTATACGTCTTCAACCACATGCTTGTTAAGGGGTGGCGTGTCTTCTTCTTTAGCGCCAAAATGGGACACTGGAACCCAAAAGAGAATTGTTTATTCAAATGTTTTACTTCTCATATAGGTACACAAGAAAGCAGTAGTCAGTTAAGAACTGTTGAATCCAACAATGTAGACAGATAAAAAAACGCCAAGAAGTCGAGGATTGCTGCAGTAATGAAATTAGAAACAAAAGTAAAATGTTCTTGAAGTCTTCAAGCAAACACTGAAGTTCGGTAAATTAAACATTCGCAAAAATATATATATATATATATATATATATATATATATATATATATATATATATATATATATATATATATATATATATATATATACATATGTCGCAGCAATTTGTAACAGCCCCCCCCCCCAACCCTTTTTCGCCTTTCCCCCCCCCCCTATCTCTCTCTCTTAAGATGAATAATTGATTTCAAGAAAAATAAACATGTTAAATTCAATTAAATTTTACTTTTAATAAACACGCATCCTGATCTCAGAAGCATAAAAACAGCACCACATACAGGACTAATTATTATTTAAAAAAGGACACACATAAAAAACCAGAAGTATCCGTGTCTATAACAGTGTACAACTCACTTTATGAAACATGATACAACAGAACAACCGTTCGTCACTGTTCCCGTATCCGGCAAGCAGATCGCCCGGATGTCAATCAATCAGGAGAAGAAAGAAGAATATGTAGATCTTAAACTATCGGTATTTGCACTGATAACAGAATGGAAGAATAGACCCCGAGCCCTGTGTGACATATAATGACACAACTGGATAATGAATGAACTTGCACTGAGCACCTTCACACCCGAGTCGAGACAACATTGTCTCCGCCTAATGTTAAAGCACTGTTCAAATAACCAAAATCACCTAATCTATAACAGACATCCCAGAAGATAAATCATGGTCCCTTTTCGTTTCCTCATTATCAGCGGTGTTCCCCGAAAATGAATATCCATTTGTGACTTCTTTGGTATTGTTCTCGTTACCAACATATGTCTTTGGAGGCTCATATTCATTTGTGACATCCTCATTCTCTTTCTCCGTTTTCTCAGGCGGCGTGGAATCTCGCTTGTCATATTTCTGTAGGAAAATGAAAATTATTTTTGTTTTGTTTTAGTAAGTGCTGTGTGTGCTATAAAGGCAGGAACCGGGCAGCTCAGACCACTTGAGCGCCACTCCAAAATAGGTTTTTGGGTGAGAAGCTTAACTCACCCTTTTTAATAATTTTGTAAGGGTACTAACAGTTTGTGTCAAGATGGCGGGACGTGTTTCTCTCTAGCTCGGCGCATATCGGTTGATCGACGGTCCGACAAGCTGTCATCGCAAAACCACCAATTGTTATAGAATCAGATTTCTGAAATTAGACAGTTTTGAAAATAAATGCCTTAGAAGAATACTAAATTTCAAATGGTCAGATTTCCGAACCAATACACAAATAAGGCAAGAATCCAGGCAAGAGTATGTGTCTAATTTTATACGAAAACGCCGCTGGAACTATGTCGGCCACGTCCTTAGAATGGATAAATCAAGACTTCCTTACCAAGCCCTCATTTGGACACCACAGGGGAAAAGATCTCGTGGAAGACCAAGGGAAACCCTACGTAGAACTATCATCAGGGAAGGCTCGCTCATGGGCCACTCAAACATCCAAGACCTACAACGGATTGCAACGGACCGCCGTGCATGGAGAGTCACGACCTCTGCCCTATGTGCCGCACTCGACACAAGAGGAAAGACTAACTAACTAACAGTCGCCCTTTAACCATAAATATAAATTTTTCCCAAAGGTATTTGTTTATGCATTTCATACTAATTTAAGTATATTGTTATAGTTATTTGTAATTAAGCAATAATAATAATAGTAATAATATTAGTAGTAGTAATAATCATAATAATAGTAATAAGTTAATAATAATGGGTTCTCCTTAAAACTACGGCCACTTATTAGGGAGTACGGCGGAGTTGAGTCCCCTGGCCGCATTGCAATTACGGAGTGGAAAAGAGGGAACGACACAAATGACGTAATTACTGTGTGTTGGCGATAGACAGCGTGAACCAGTGGCGTTATTACTGTGTGTTGGCGATAGATGCACTGCTGTCATAATAGGGTTAGGGTTAGGGTTAGGGTTTGGGTTAGGGTTAGGGTATTGGTACTCCTTAAAACTACGGCCACTCCTACTCCTACCCCTACCCCTTACCCTAACCCAAACCCTAACCTTAAGCCTAACCCTAACCCTGACCCTAACCCTAACCCTATTATGACAGCAGTACATCTATCGCCAACACACAGTAATTATGTCATTTGTTTCGGTCCCTCTTTCCACTCCGTAATTGTAATGCGGCCAGGGGACTGACCTCCGGCGTACTCCATAATAAGTGGCCGTAGTTTTAAGGAGAACCTAATAATGTGTTAAAGTCAAATACTGTAAATATGATATTACATTTGAAGTAATGTGCAATGAATAAATAAATACTTTTAAAGATAATTTCTATACATGGTTAAAAGGGACATCTCGGATCATCAGTAAAACGAATTTCTTGTGTGTGGCAACACTTACCACAAGGACCTGATCATCCCCCTCCTCCATTATTTGCCTAGGAAATGTGCAAGGTGATGAGGAGGACATGATTGGGGTGGAGGGACAGAGTGGGCCCCTTACTGTCAATTTTTTTAGTTTTTTTATTGGTGAGGTGGGAGGGGAGGGGGTGGGACTGAAGAGGTCTGAGCTCTAGCCAATATTTGCCTAGATGGTGGGAGTAGCAAGACTCAATTTTTCGTTTTCTTAATTGGGTTTTTTCTCTTTGGGGGGGGGGGGGGGGGATGTTGCTGGTGTATGCTGTATAAGTAGTTGCGTATGTGCAAATCAGGTCGAATGGAGCAGCCTGCAGACGCCTACGCCGCCTGGTGCTGCCTGCAATAGCCTGATTATGCCTGCAATAGCCTGGTGCTACCTGCAGCGCTGTCTCATGTATATTTAAAAAAAAAATTGCAAGTCTTACCAACGTTTCTTCACGACCGCTTCATGCTTTTTCACAACTTTATAACTTGAACGAAGAAAAGTAATTGAAAAATATTAAAGGCAAGGATGCTACAGTACATATGTTAAAGGAGATTTATATTATCCATCTATTAGGTTATCCGCCACAGCCCTGCTCTGGACGGTGACAATTAATCAAAGTTTTACTGTATTTACATTTTCCTGAATAATTCCAAATTCCTAATTTTTTTTAAAATCGACCCAAACATTAAATAAATAACACACAGAAAAAAAAAGAAAAAAAAAAAAAAAAAACTGCAGAGGCTTTCAAATATAAGTCCATGTCATATCAATAGAAGTAATGTATTATATTATTATCATATTGACTTGAATACATAAATCAGTGTTATTACCCATCGCTCTATGACTAATTTCAAACACCAAGATCTTCAGTGACAATGTAATTTTTTGCCCCCCCCCCCCTTACCTTTCATCCTTGGTAAGCAATTCCAAATGCTTATTTCCTTATCAGTTGAGACACTTCTGCCTAATTCCATTCTCTAAGACCATGCCTTTCAGTATCAGGCTTTGAAAAAGTATAGGGTTGGAGTCTTGATGTGTGACATGTAGATGCTGTTATTCACTGCATCAGATATTCCACCCATCCTCATTTGAATGGACCACTTCTATATCTGCTTCCATTGTGTCTGAGTGACATGACTCTATACGGAACACTGTCCTATGACAGTCTTAGCAAATGTTCGAAACATTTGACTTTTTGATTTTGATGTCGTTCAGCATTGGTTCCATTCCTACTTGTTGACATGCTATCTCGTTTATTATGTGCACCTTTGATAAATTTAAGATTAACCGTAGATTTTTTATTTTTTTAATTTCAATTTTTCCTTTTCCTACACGTATATCAATCAATGTAATGACTTACCCCTTCATGGACAACTCCAAAACGCAGAGGTTTTCTTATCGACTCCGGCAAGAAAGGAAAGAGAATATCAAATATTGGACATATTACTCTGGCATCAAGTTCTGACGGTTTAGTAGCACCTGATGTGTTGTGGAAGAAAAATAATTAGGAACAAAAAATTATCGAAGCTTTTTTCCCATGTATAACATTAAATAGAAGACCATTAGTGGTGATTATTAAAAAAAAAAAAAAAAAAAACCTCTACTTATGAAACCAACAAAAGACCAAATATAAGTTCATGGTGACTGGCAATATACACATATAAATACTCTACCTGTTATGAGGTCCACGAAAGACCAAAGACAAGTTTTCTGATGAATAGCAATAAAAAAAAAATCCAAACTCTTTACCTGTTATGAGGTCAACAGAAGACCAAAGACAAGTTTATGATGAAAAGCGATACAAAAAATCTAAACACTTTACATGTTATGAGGTCAACAAAAGACCAAAGACAAGTTTATGATGAATGGCAATACAAAAAATCTAAACACTTTACATGTTATGAGGTCAACAAAAGACCAAAGACAAGTTTATGATGAATGGCAATACAAAAAATCTAAACACTTTACATGTTATGAGGTCAACAAAAGACCAAAGACAAGTTTATGATGAATGGCAATACAAACAAATTTAAATTCTTTACCTGTTATGAGGTACACAAAAGACCAAAGACAAGTTTACGATTAACTACAAATAAAATGTATAGATACTTTACCTATTATGAAGCTATTCAATGACAGCTCTAGGATAAATGGCGAATGAAAGACAAAAATAAAAAAGTTGAGCTGAGCGGCTCACATGGCGGTCTGAATGTTTAAGGTTAAAATTCGCATCAAAGCGGATTAAAAAAAAAATTACCTTCACCCCCAGGTCGATCCAACCTAAAATGGCTGACAGGTAATGTTATGGGAAGTAAACATGGGCCGCGTGACGTTAACCTCATCATCCATCGAGTGCTGATTGGCCCATAAAAATATAAATCTAGCACTATATTATTGATACTCCAAAGGCACGAAAAGGGTCTATTACTTTATCTAGCTTTGCTTGTTAGGAAGCTAGCAAAAGGACCAATAAACACTTTATAATACCCGTGTGTGGTTCCGGGGTCCCATTGTGGGGGAAAACAAGAATAGACCCACTGCGTCCATAAAAGCATGTCGTAAGAGTCGACTAATTGGGGAGCTTCCTTTGAAGTCGGAGTGCATCTGCCGGAGAGGCAAGGAACCAGCAGTCTGTATTCAAGAGAATGAGATCTGTAAAACTGATGCACACGCAGCACTCAGGTTCTGGAGCAGGACTGCAGTTCAGTAGTGGACGAGCAACCAGAACTTTCCGCCAGAGTGTACAGCTGGTGAACGTGAAGAAGAAAAAGAAGACTTTATAATAATTGGCAATATGAAATCTCTGCCTGTTAGGAAGCTAGCAAAAAGGACCAATGAACACTTTATAATAATTGGTAATATGAAATCTCTGCCTGGAAGCTAGCGATAAGACCAATAAAAAGTGTATGATAATTGGCAAAATTATTAATCTACCTGTTATGAAGCTAGCAAAAAAGAAAATGATAAATTTATGATAAATGGCAACAAGGATACCCTACGTGTGATGAAGCTAACACAAAGACCAATAACAACTTTGTGATACATAGCAACACAAATACTCTCTCCGTTATGAAGAAAACATTAAGACCAATGAACTCTTTATGATACATGCAACTTGAATACTCTATCTGGTAGGATGCTAACAACAAGACCAATACATTTATGATACATGGCAACATTAACAATCAACCCTTTATGAAGCTAACAACAAGACCAATGAAAACTTTATGATAAATAGCAACACAAATACTTTCTCCGTTATGAAGAAAACATTAAGACCAATGAACTCTTTATGATACATGCAACTTGAATACTCTATCTGGTAGGATGCTAACAACAAGACCAATACATTTATGATACATGGCAACATTAACAATCAACCCTTTATGAAGCTAACAACAAGACCAATGAAAACTTTATGATAAACGGCAATAAAAATACTCTATCTATTATAAAGCTGACAATAAGACCAGTGACAACTTTATGATAAATGACAACAAGAATGCTCTACGTGTGATGAAGCTAATAATAAGACCAATGACAACTTTATGATAAATAGCAATAAGAATACCCTAACTATTATGAAGCAGATAGTAAGATCAATGACAACTTTAGGATAAATATTAACGAGAATACCTGTTATGAAACTGACAATAAGACCAATGACAACTTTATGGTAAATGGTAGCAAGAATACTCCACCTGTTATGAAGCTAACAATAAGACCAATGACAACGCACGCTGCCAGAGCTGTAGTACTGTACCACATGTAAGACAGCTTATACAAAGGGAACACTGCGTCTCTGTGGATTCAAGAAAGTATAACGAGGCAATGAGAAACATATCAAATTTTAGGCAAGAAAAAAGATAAACTCATAAAATAAACTACATACATTTTGTTTAAATTGTAAGTAAAAGTTATATCGAGGAAAGCATTTAGTGCTTTATTAATATCCTATCCCAAACAGGGGAAATCCGCAGGTCACGGGACAGTCTACTATTTCAGATAGGCTGCAGGCAGTCGTGGGACCTAGGCTGCGCTCTCTCGTGGGACGTAGGTGGGTTGGCGTTAGGGCTAGCTTCTAGATGTTTTGGTGTCCAAAAGCAGCAGAAAACCGGGAAAACTTATTTTTACCACCCTTAAAATGGCGGACTGTCCTGTGACGTTATCTGGGGGTAGGATATTATTAAAGAACCAAGCATTTTCAAAAGTAAACCGAATAAAAACTACCCAGAAAATCAAATACTAGCTCATCCCGGCTTGGCTCATATGTTGGGAAGCGAGGCCGATACCAATCTATCTCATACTTATAACATTGTTCAGAGACATCGCAGCCAGGCGACATTTCTAGTGGTGAATGAATAACGCTTCACCCATATCTGCAACAGTTGCCAAGTTGACCTTCTGGTGACTAACTGCGTGCCCCACCGGAGAGTGCTTAACAAACACAGTTCACATAGTCACATCATACAGCAAACACTCTGTCAACAGTATCATGGCAACACATCAGGAGGCATCTATAATAGTGCTTCAGTCAATTTTATTAATTAGCAAACATAATAGAACGACGCTCGGTGGCAGACATGTGAATAATAACGTTCACTAAACATTCTAAATCTCCATAGGAACAAAAAAAATACATGCCTAAAAACCAAAGGCAAGTACGCCCATATGAGTCCGTCACCTATTGCTGACAGACAGACACTGCTTCCTTCACGAGTAACCTTCAGCAGTTACCCTTCGTCTCTCGCAATTACCGTGAAGCTGCGGTTATCCGTGAAAGTTTAGACACACTTGTTTAGCGTGGACCTTTTGCACTCGTCACTATCCTCGTCTTGTAACGTGGGCCGCCTGCACTCGTCACCATCCCGATTATTACCATCCACTGCCTTCACGACCGGCGCAGGCGATCACGCCTTTGAACTCTGTACAATTGACCAGCCGATGAATTCAGCAGGCAACAGTTTGTAATGTCACATTACCCCTCACAACCCCTTATGACATTACATGGATCCAGAAGACTGTCACATTCCCCCTCACAACACCTTATGGCAGTAGATGGATCCAGAAGACTGTCACATTCCCCCTCACAACACCTTATGGCAGTAGATGGATCCAGAAGACTGTCACATTCCCCCTCACAACACCTTATGGCAGTAGATGGATCCAGAAGACTGTCACATTCCCCTCACAACACCTTATGGCATTACATGGATCCAGTAGACTGTCACATTCCCCCTCACAACACCTTACGACATTACATGGATCCAGGAGACTGTCACATTCCCCCTCACAACACCCTATGGCAGTAGATGGATCCAGAAGACTGTCACATTCCCCCTCACAACCGCTTATGGCAGTTGATGGATCTAGCAGGCTGCTGGGTTTTTTAATTTAAAGAACATTTAATACAAAAAGCGGGATATCTGTGTCTCCAGGTATTTTGGAGCCATAGAGAATGTGGCCAATAAAGCTCTAAAGGTAAAGTACTCTTTTCATGCCAGCAGGGCATCGAGCAAACGATGCTAGACTCACGTTTTGTATGCATCAATAGTGACACTGGCCGCTTTTCTTCCCCAGGACATTTCCTGGTTTTGAGTTTAGGCTGAGTCCACCTGGGAGCCAAGGTAATATTTTTTAAATCACCTGATTTAAACGTGAGACCATCCGGCCTGTATCCGAGTGTCTAACCACTGAGCTATCGGTGTCGCCACGAAACCTGGTGGCTTAAGCCACTTAAGCCCATCCAACAATTCCCCCTTCTTTTTTTTTTCTTCGAAAAATGTTAAGCGGCTTCCCTAAACATGTATATAATTTCTTGTTTATGCACTAGTTTATCACTTCTAAATTATTAAACTATATTATTGTATTGATTTGTCATTCAGTATATTATTATTCTTGTGTGATTACAGAACTAACTTATGGTTGCGAGAGTTGGAAAGCAACAGTAGCTCTTGATAAAAAATTAGACAATTTTGGGAACAGATGTCTTAGAAAAATACTGAATCTCATATGGACAGATTTCAGATCCAATACACAAATAAGACAAGAGACCAAGCAAGAAAATGTATCAACTTTTATAAGAAAGCGCCGCTGGAAGTACATGGGGCGTGCACTCAGAATATATAAGACAAGACTCCCCCGTCAAGCCCAGTGTTGCCACTTTGGATCTTTTATGTCCAAATTTAGATCTTTTTCATTGCATTTAGATACTGTTTTTGACGTTTAATTCGTAAATAGTTTTCTAGACGCTTTTCATATGGAGTTAAATATTTTATAGATTTTTTTTCTTTCATTGTCAATTTAATAATTACTGTGTAAAATATTTATTACAATATTTTTGTTTTGGTCTGGCACGTACATTGTGACAACTGCCATTACTTGAACTTTGAACTCTCATTGGGGTCAACGCACAAATATCTGGCAGCCCCGGTACTGATTAATAAAAACGCGCGTAAATCATACTAGCTTTGTTTCAACCGTATCCTCACTGTGCTGACTTTGCGTTTCTTTTTCATGTGATTATAAAAAAAATTGCTCACCTTCTTATGTGGCTTTCACTTTGAAAAAAACTTTCAACATGCCAAAAGTAAAGTATGAGCACAAAATTTGGAAAGAGTGGTTGCATGATGACAAAATTAAAAACTGGGGATGTGACCAAAGCTTGTTGTAAGTACTGCAAGTGTAAAATTAAAGCGAAAATACAAAATTCAAAGAGCCATGCAGAGACTAGAAAAGCATAAAACTGCAGATTCATTTAAAGATATTACACCGCTGATATCTGTTTTCAGAACTATACAGATAAATGAATCATCAAAAGCTGAAGTATCAGTCGCAATGTTTTTAATTTGTCACTGCGCAATTTCAAACTGTTACCATTTGATCGATTTGTAAAAAATCTTGGACTAGTTCAATTTGAAAAGTGTGATGTAGAAAGTATAGTTTAGGAACTGAAGGACCTTTTAATCAGCAAACAGTTGGGCTTGAAGAATTTGGCTGTAATTGGTACTGATAATGCCCCAGTGATGGTTGGTATAAACAATGGCGTTTATGCCAAGTTGAAGGAAGCTAACCCATCGTTAATACTTATAAAATGTATGCGTCATTTATTGCAGCTAGCATTATCACATGCTTCATCTAAATATTTACCAAGGAATTTGGAATACCTTATTGCTGAAACACTTTACTGGTTTTCCAAATCATTTGTCAGACAACAGCAATACAATACATTGTATACAGCCTTGAATGATGGTTCCACACCACCGAAAATTCTGTCATTGCAAAACTAGATGGTTATCAATTTAACCAGCTGTTGAAAGAATTATGAAGCAATGGCTGAAGTTGAAGACACACTTTGAAATAACAAGACAAAGTGAAAAGTGCTATACAGCTGAAATACTATATGGAATGTACAGTGATGAAACAAATTTGTCATTCATTCTCTTTTTATAACCTATTTTAATGGAAGTGCAAAAAGTTAATAAACTGTTCGAATCTAAACTTGTTGATAAAGTTAAATTACTTGATGATCTCGCCTTGCTATTTCACTCGGTAAAAGACTAGTGTTGCCAACGTCTAAAGCTGATTTGCTCACTTGCACTATAGAGAGCTATTTGACTCCTAAGCCACACCTTGGATATTAAATCGAATCGAAAATTTATGATTTAAAAACAAAAGGACTGTTAACAGAGAACGAAGATAAAAACTTAAGAAAACGCTGTCAAGATTTCCTTATCTCATTATTGACGCAGTTGAAGCAGAGACTTCCTGAAAATCTAAATGTTTTGAAAAATATTTCATTTTTTTTCTGTTAGCAACATACTTCCGCCAATAAAGGACATACCTAAATATTGTAAAGTTATGACATTTTTAAGGGCTACTGATAATAGTGCCGCGGAAGCAGAATATCAGTTAACCAAAATAAAGTTAGCTGAATGGACAAACAAAACAGAAACTAAAGCGTTTTAGAGTGAAGTGAGACAATTTAAAGATGCCTCATCAAACAGTCCATTCTGTAAGCTCTTTAAAGTGCCATGTCTGACATGATACTACTCCACTCAAATGCTGACGCAGAAAGAGTTTTCAGTGCTAGGAATTAAATCAAATCTAATCTACAAACAGGATGAAATTTGACATCTTAAATGCTATCGTGCCATTAAAATTCGGCCTGATGAGACTAGAGAAATAAGCCTACTGTTCCACTTATAAAGAAATTTGAACAGCTAAAGCATACCAGGGTCATTTTGGATCTGAAGCTTCAACTTCATTATCCAAGCTAAGTTTATCCTGTGGATCTTGCGAGGCAGACATCAGTGAAGGTGAGGACATGATTATGTAGGGTAAGTCATAACAAAAGCTATGTGATTTTTGACTTTTTCAATTTGGATGTTTTTTCTAGATCTTTTCCACGCAGATTTAGATCTTTTTAGATATTTTTTGACACCGTTTTGGATATTTTTTGTGAAAGAAAAGTGGCAACACTGGTCAAGCCCTCATATGGACACCGGAAGGGAAGAGAAAACTGTCATCAGGGAGGGCTCAACTATGGGCCTAATGAATATTCAAGACCCAAATCAGGTGGCAACGAACCACCAGACATGGAGAGCTGGGACCTCTGCCCTATGCGCCACCTTAGGCACAAGAGGAAAGACTAACTAAATAACTAACTAACTGACTGACTATTATTATTATTATGCACTTAAACAGGGCTTAGACCACTCTTTCATAGAACATTTGTAAAAAGGGTTTAGGTGTGTGCTGTTGTGAGAGTAACGTTCTGCAAAGGACCTGCTAGTGGATGACAATAATGATGATGATGATGATGATGTTGATGATGATGATATTCTCACCTGACAACAGTAACATTGGATGCTGCTGGTTTTATAAGAAGAGAGGCGTTGAAAGCTGTAAAGTTGCAGTACTCTACAGACATGATAGCTTTCTTTAGAAAGGGTTTCTGGACGGCCGTCCCTATTCCTATCCAGAAGGCAAGTATCAGGCTACCGAACAGTCCACTATAGGCGCCCTGTCACAAACATAGATCGGCATTAAGTTAGCCATCGACGATTTAAACAGTTAGCTGCACTTTCTTCAACTCTTCCAGAATTCGGCAGTTTTACTTTTAATCTTCCACAACCAGTGTTAGCTCTATCAATGCCAAGAATTTTTACACTTTAACACTTTCCGACCCGGGAATTTAATACTTTCAGTGGTTTTACTTTAAATCTATCATTACCTGCACTTTCACTCTTTAGGTGTACTTGCTTTAACTCTTCCAGAAACAGGGAGTTTTACATTTAATCTTTAAGAACCAGGCATGTTCACACTCTCAATCAGTACCGGGCATTTTCACACTTTCCTTCACTACCAGGTGTTTTTACAGTCATTAACTCTATAGCTTCCATGCAGTTTTACTTTAACACGTCAAGCATTAGACAGTTCATCTTTTTCAGTACCAGGTTGTTTTAATTTAGCTCTTTCCTTAACAAGCAACTCACAGTGCGTTACTGGTTACGCTTTATATATGCTTTTTTAAAACTATTATTTATTTATTATCTAAATGAAAGATTCATTTATTATACTGAAATTTTAGATGTAACCTAATATGTCCTGCAGTGATTTCAGAGGCGTGGCAAAGGGTGTTTTGTTATGCAGATGTTAGCGTCTGTGGCTTAGGCGTTGCGAACACGCTTCGTAATGTCAGGGTGCCAGGTTCGATCCCAACTGCGGACGGTTTGTCTAGCGTTGGTTTCGACAATGGTACCGGGAGCTGACCGTTCAGTAGCAATGGCAAACTACTGAATGTAAAATTTCGTGTGCTTTCAATCCATTCTGACGTATGGTGTATGATCATCTACACGTTTGGCAATGGTAGTCATGTTTGTCCGCAGTCTTCTGTCTGGTGTACTTTCAGTCAGTTCTAACACAAATGATCTTCCATACCATAATGTATGACTCCAAAATTTTCTCTCCCAGTCTCTTTCTATGCCTCTTTTTTCTCTCCAAACTTCCCACCGTCCAGATGTCCTCCAGTTGTCTCATTCTAATGACATGACCAAACAGCCTAGCTTGTCTCCTTCTGATATAGGCAATCATTTGGTGCCAACTTTTTTTAAGTTCACCTTGTTATATTTTAGCGAAATCTCTGTCTACCCATTAGAGACGTCTTGCATTATTGTTTTTGCTAAGTAACGTGTATATTCAATCTTATCTATTGCTCCCCTAGACTTCAATCCCTCTGTGACACCACAGCATGATGATCACGATAATAATGACGATAATAATGCCGATAATGATGACGATAATGATGGGGATCCTTACCCATTTGTTTGCACAGGGAAAAAACATCCCTAGCGTGAAAACACCCAGCAGGGGTCCACCAAATATACCGTGGAGTGAAAGAGCTGCCTGAAAGGGAAATGTATTGTTATTTGCAACAATTTGAAGATGTTGTACACAAAACCCTATGTGATGTTAATGTGTTTCTCATTGTGTCATGTGTTGTGTTGATGTGTATCATATAGAAGTATATGTGGTGTTGATGTGTGTCTCATATAATCGTGTGTGGTGTTGATGTATTATCGTAGCATTTTCGTCTTCTTCTGTTCTGTACTCGTGGAATGCCTCGCGGCGTCATACTTGGAACAGATCACTGGAACGGGCCTTTTTGTTCGCTTCCTGTAAAGTACTTTTCAGTTACAAACTAGAAGAATGGACTCTTTTTCTTCTGAGTTTTCGACCTCTGGCTCCTTTACTGGTGTATATATGTAACATTGCTCTCTTTGGTGCCCTGTCTGATGTCAATATGGTTACATGGCCAAACCATTTGGTTTGTTGCCCACCTATAAAGTTCAGTATTGGTTCTAAGTCGATCTCCCCCTGATATCCTCGTTTCTAAGTCGATCTTTCCTCATTACACCTAACATAGTGAGTAAACATTTCATTTCTGTCGTGATTATTTTCCTTCTGTCTTCTGAAGACAATGTTCATGTTTGACATTTATAGCATAGCGTTGGTAAGAATTTTGTGTTCAACAGTGTTCATTTTCACATGCTTGCATTTCAAAATTGGGGCCATTTGGCCTGAAACTTGACTAAACTGACTTTATTGCATCTTTGTTGGATTTCTTTATTAATTCTTCCGTCTTCTGAAGAAGAAAAAAAAATGCATGCTTCCCACATATGTAAAATCCTTCCCCTGCTTTAATTGGTTTTTATCAATTTTGATATTGACAGTTCTTTATTTTCTGGAGAATTTCATCACTTCTGTTTTGTCTACATTGATCTTCATATCATAGATGTCGCATTCTGAGTAGAGACTATTAATATGTTTTTGTAGTTATACTGTTGTTGGTGCTATGATTATCTAATCATCGACGAAAAGAAATTTATTTAGTTATTCCCCTTCGCTTGTGTTAGCTGATCTACAAATTTGGTCGACGTTTGTGATGAACAGTAGTGGTGACAGAAAGCACCACTGTCTCACTCCAGATCTAATGTAGAACTTGTCTTATATTACTGTATTAGCTCTAGCTTCGCATTGACTGTCCACGTATAAACTTTTGCACAGTTGATTAATATGTTCGTTTACTCCGTAATCTTGTAGTACCTTCACCCCGTAATCCTGCAGTACCTTCCATAATGTATTCCTCTTAACTAGATGGAAAGCTGTCTCTTGATCTACGAATGCGACGTGTAATTCTTTATCTGATTCTACCGTCCTTTCCACTAATTGCTTAAGTGTGAATATTGCATCAGTACAACTTCTGTTCTTCCGAAATCCGATTTGTCCTAAACTAAATTGTGGTTCGATGATAGGGCGTAGCCTTTTTCCAAGGATCTTTCAAAATATTTTACTCGGTATGGTCCAATAATGAAACTCCTCTATACTTCTCACTATCTATTTGCCGCCTTTCATCTTCCATATGGTTACTATTATTGCATTTCTCCAGTCCTCTGGTGTCTCTTGTGTAGTCAAGACTAGGTTGAGTAGTCCATTTTACGCCTACCTCTTATGTTGCTTTGAGCAATTATATCGCAAGGACCTGGTGTTTTTTGGAAGGTGCCTCTTCTACAGCTTTTCTTATTTTTGCAAGCGTTACTGTTCTAAATTATCGTTTATGTAGTAGCCGTTGTTTTCTTGTGTTATGGATTGTTCCTCTGATTGTAAGTTAAGTAGATCGTTGAAATGTTGACGCCAGCCCTCTAGGACCTTTTGCGGTTCGTTTAAGGGAACTTCTTGAAATTCTTGGGTACTGTCCTTTTCATTCTAGTCGGTTCAATAGATCTCTTCATTTTCTACGATCACTAAGGAAGCCACCATCGGTTTGCTGGACCAGTCACAGTGTTTTCAAACAATAAAAGGAAATACTTAAACTAAACCATGCCATTCAGACGAGCTTAAAACAACTTCCATTCTAGGGTGTCCGAACTGACCCCAGTTAGATGCTGGCAGACAAAAAAAAAAAAAAAAAATAACTCATGTGTGTGTATTAGTGTGTCTTGCATGTGCAGTGCTAATGTGCCTTTCCTCAAATCATTGATGATGGTATCGTATTTGTTATTGTTATGATTAGTGTTGTATTTTTCATTCAATCATGTGTGATATTGTTGTGCTTGATCTGTAGTGTTGATGGCCTCGAAAAGATTCATATATGGTGCAGCTATAATCCACAGCTTGTTGTAATATGTGGCTGCGAATCCTGGATATTAGTACAATATTTAAGCCATACCATTTCTTGAGGCTTCAGAGATGTTGTTTTATAGAAGAAGGTTTAATAATCTTTAGACAGGCAAAGCTGAGTGATCCACCTGTTTTAAAATAGGAGAAGGCTGCCTGAAGAGATTCAATTCATTGTCTTAATGTGTTATTATATGTCACCTAGGGCTCCTAGTCTCTTTCCCCATTCAGTTCTATGCTGTGAAATGAGTTCAATATTATGGACGGAAGCCAGTCTAGATGCCCTGGGCTCTCTCATCTCCGTTTGTTTTAGGGTTTTTTTTATGGACACCCTCTTTCCTTTAATCCCTTTATTTCCCATTGTAATGCCTGTGTCCATTATAGCTCTATTTACTCTGTCTATAAGTGCTAACATTAGTGCTTGCCCATAAATTTGTATTGTTCCTTCACTCATTTTGAATTCATTCCATTCTATTTTAAATATTTTTCTCAGACATTGATTTCTGAATGCATTAAGCTTTTGTTCCACGTCTCTAGTGGTTTACCTGTTACCATCATTATGCACTCTGGGTACCTTACAGCAGTTACAATACTTACCGGCCCCATGTGGGCTGCAATTATTAGTTTTTTTTGAAGCACCACCTTAGCTTTTGCCGGGGGACCTAAATAAAGCTGGGCCTTAAAAATGGCCCAACGGCTGAACGGGGTTTCCGGGACCTCTCCACGGACGATCCTCATCCACATGGTGGCACTTTGTGTCACCGAGTGTTTATAGCTTGTGTGATGTCCTGGTGGGGTACAACTTACCTACTTTACACCAGTTGTTTACCAATTTGACATTCTTTCCTGCAAGTTCCAGTAGCAATATTTTTTAACAGGACGGAAGGTGGGGGTGAGGGTGGGGGAGGGGGGCGCTGGCCCCATGCCCAACCCTACTCATTTCTCGTCCAGGTTTTATACTGGCAATGGCGGTGATCGCCCGAAAACTAGTTATCAGAACTATGAGAAAGGGACATCATCGTCTGGCCTCATTATAAGGAGAAAGAATCTGGAACGACTAGATTCGAAAGAAACACAATGAGAAAATGCCATGAAAAGCATCCAGAGATTCGAAACTGACAAACACAAAGAACTACCTGATTCGATGACAGCCCGTCCAGTAACCACAAATATAGCGAACCAGGGACAGAGAGCAGCAATGTTTTCTGACCCTAGCTGAAAGTGGTCACGGCTAACTTTGAATTGGAACATGCTGACTACAGGAAAGATGTGTAGAAACAGGAGATACATGAAAACAATTGAAGGAAAGTTCTCGATAGTTTTATGTTATATCATGGTGTCAGCACTAGAACATACTTGGCTTAGGAGATCGAAGACTGCGGATGGGCATGAGCGTCTAGGTGGTTAGCGAGACGATAATAATGATGGTGATGGTGCAGTTATTCGTTTACATAAAACAAGTACCTGTAAAATGTTTCCCAGTAAGGATGCTACATAAGTCATGGCCAGGCACATCATTCCAAATGCAAGAGCTGCAATGACACTTGTGGTTAATTTTTGTTTTTAACATTGTCTAAATTCAGTATCGAGAATAATATAACACAGTTAAAATGTACATAAAACTTCTGAAATCGATATAAATTACACAAACCAAGAAGATTTCACAAGTTTTTTTTGTATCAGAAATAAAAATAGCTGCTGTTAACTTAATAAGGTCTACCGAAAACGAAAATGACATTTAAAAATGTTGATTTGCTCTTGTTTCAAGATACCTGCTACTTCTGTATTTAACTACGGTCAGTCTACCTATGTGACGCAACTGTTGCGGGCGATTGCATAATTGATTCTAATGACCAGTTTAAAAAAATGTGACTAGACATTATTTTATAAATCTCTTTCATATGGTCTGCTAAAATTGACGGTAACACATTACCCTTATACAACAAAAAAGTTTGTGAAAAGAGTCCATTCTTCTAGATTGTACTTGATTTTGAGACCTGCTATTAATCTACAAATTTTGTAGATGCAGAAAGGTCACGTTCTTTGAAAAAGAACGTAATAAGCCGTTTCTGACAATCCTATACCACGGCCTTCTCTATATATAGGCCAAACAGGTCAACGGGGATTCCCGTTCTTGTGCAAGAATTGAGTCCCTCTGCGTCCACAGTGTTTATCGAGGAGATGTATACACAAGTTAAACTACAGTTTCATTAATTTTTGACATATTTTACAGAACTATACGTCATTTTTAAGGTAAATAAGTGCGCCAATTAAATATAACAATAAAGACTCTTACAGACAAACAAAAATGCTTTTGCTACAGTCAACATGAACATAAACATCAATAACGTTTAGATATAAACTAAAAGTTGTTCCAGAAAAAGTAAAGAAATATCAGTGCTGACTCTTTGATTCTGAGAGGGTATTGTTGCATCAGAGGAGCCGCGGGGTTGGGGGAGGGGGGGGGGGGGGTGACATTTGTACTTTTCAAATTTAGCGCATAAAAAAACTGCTATGAAACATACACATGTCATACATAACATAAATATAAATGATTGTTGGTTATTATTATTATTAGTAGTCTACAACAACATATAATTATACTGGTATTTAATAATTAGTAAACAAGCACAATCAGTATGAAATTGATATGTGCAATACTTTTTTCACCCAGAGTAGTTTTCTTAACAGTACTTATAGCACTACAAAATATGTATCCTCAAGGTAAAAACAGCACAAACAAATTTGTCCAGTTTCATCTTGATGGATAAAATCAATTCCTTATCATTGCGATTTTTTTAGGTAACTGTTTAAAAATACATAACACATACTTCTGAATACTGCATGCAACAACGCGTATAAGTATCTTTAATGGTATATTATTTAAAAAATAATTAGAGCAAATTAAAAAAAGACAAATAACTGCAAATTGCTGAGCAGCTTACACATATCAAACACAAAAATCCCCATATAGATACCGGATCTCGATGTTCAAAACTGTCCGGAACAAGACTAAAGCCCAGAATAAGATGAACAACCAGAAGTTTCTGCCAGAGTTTACAGCCAGTGTTCGCGAAGCAAAAGCCAATTTACAAAAATTAACACATATCGTTCAACTGCAAATATGCATAAGAAGTGGATGAACAACCAGAAATTTCTGCAAGAGTTTACAGCCAGTGTTCGCAAAGCAGAAGACAATTCACAAAAATTAACACAGACCGTGCAACTGCAAATATGCATAAGAAGTGGATGAACAACCAGAAGTTTGGCAAGAATTTACAGCCAGTGTTCGCGAAGCAAAAGCCAGTTTACAAAAATAAACACAGACCGTACAACTGCAAATATGCATAAAAAGTGGATGAGCAACCAGTAGTTTCTGCCAGAGTTTACAGCCAGTGTTCGCGAAGCATAAGTCAAATGGTTAAGGAATAATATTATTAATGTACTTCTACAACATATAATTATACCGTTAGTCAACAATTAGTAAAGAGGCAAAGAGTGACTTGCTGTGAGGGGTTAGTTAGTAAATATTGTTTTTATCCACTTACCCAGAGCTCCGAAATATCTTGACACAATTTATCCAAGTGCACTAACTAACGTTAAAATGTTATCAGATATAAGATATTTATGCACATAGGTGTTGTAATCATAAGTAGGATTGCATCTCCCAATTCTAGTTACATTTTAATTGGTCATTAGACACAAATTTTGAATCGCTTTATAAAGCAGCTGTTGTGGGCGATTCAATATATATATATATATATAAATTGAACGTAGTAGCACGTGTCTTAAAAACTAGAGCACACCAAATTTAGTTCAGATCAGCTATTTTTATTTCTGGTACATTCTAGCTGTTGACTAGTGTCATTGGAATCTTCATACACTATTGAAATTTAATTATATTGTTGGAAGCAAGTTTAACGATACGTCGTCGTATTCATGCGTTAACAAATTACCCATTGTATGTATGTGAGCTGCAGTGCCACAGTAAGTTACTAGAATGCGCTACTAGCTTATTTGATTGAAAAGGAAATATCATACCAAACTATCTTCTTAACATAAACCAGTTTATGAAAGTAGGAGCAATTTATAGAGACGATTGTGTGCGCGTAACAACAGACAATGGCAAGGAGTTTATTCAAAGATTTGTAGTGCAAACTGATCATAATGATGCAGACATCTGATTAACTAACATTCAACCTCACCAGGACGAAACAACGAGCGAAAAACACCATTAACACAAAGTTCCAACATGTTGATGAGAACAAATCCACAAGTCACAGAAACGCCGTTTAACAATTAGGGTATTTTAGGGCACCAGACGACAGCCGTAATGGAGCTCTAAAATAAAAAAAAAATAATTAAAAAATGTGTTTCATGATGGGGCGGGATTAAGCAATAAGTAAACAGACTCAAGCATGCAGTTAAGGATATTTATCTGGCACATAAATATTATTTATGAAGACATCATAAAGTTGAAGATATCAAACATATTTTGAAAAATGAAAAGAGACACTTCACCAGGGCCTGACTGATGAAGGCGTTGAGCCATGTAGACCTGATGAAGATGATCGATAACTTTAATCAGAGCATTAAGGCAGTATCAGTACCGCAGGACTGGGTGCACAGCTATCTAATCCCACACCCAAAACAATGCAAGGATCATTAAAAGCTAAATGGTTTCAAAATCACCACCTTACAAAATACACTTGGGAAGGTCTTGGAGAAGATAGTCCCTGTCAAACTGCAAGAAATTTTGGAAAGAGTGAAACTTCTTCCAAGAGGTCTGGATACCTACAGGCCAAGAAAAGATACATGGTCAATTGCAGCCACTTGTGCCTTCGATGTTTATGAAGGGTTCCAAGACAGACAGGAAACCATGGCGGCAGCGCTTGATCTAAAGGATGTGTATAAGAGTAAGATATCTTGATGACGGCACTGATGGAGAAGTAGGTGGGTCCTGTATTCTCATAGGGTCGCTCTCCGTCGGGGTTCATGGACCTCAGAGCCAAGCATTATAGCCCGGGGACTGCCACAGGGATCTGCAATCTCACCTGTGCTCTTTAATGAGTATACGAACAAGATTGCAAGCCTAGAAGCCGCAGGCGTTGAAAAAATACTGACATTTGCAGATGATATTTTCGCGTATAGGCAGGAGAGAGATAGGAAACAAACAGCCCAGGAGCTACAGGCGACAAGTGGTTGCCTAGTGTACAGAAATGAGGGCTGTCCTGCACCTAGAAAAGGCGGTCTGTTTTGTGGGGTTCTCTAGACAACAGGATTGTTAGAGCTGATGTTCTGGATCTCAAGATGGATGGTAGAAACGTCAACAGGGAGAGAAAACTGAAGTATCTGGGAATCACATTTGACAGGAGCATGTCCTTTAAGGATCACGGAAAGGGGGGGGGGCGGTTTCAACAGGAGCATGTCCTTCAAGGATCACGGGGAGACGGTTGTGACAAGACACCAAAGGGACTCACTGCACTGAAGACAGTGGCTGCAATATACATAGAGCAGAGAATTCTTTTCACATTTTATCAGCACTTGATCTTCTCAGTGACTGATTATGAACTAGGACTGCTCACTGTCACAAAGAGTAAGCTGGTTAAACTAGAGCGCACACAGAACGCAACTATGCGGATCATTCTCGGATGTACCAGAGACACACCAGTGATGTGCACGCAATACATCTTTGGTTTGCCGACTGTTGCAGGTAGGCTCAAAGTGCTGCAGACGAAGTCATACCCCACAGTAGAAGCAGACACAGATCACCTTTTGTACGATGAGTGCGGACAGACTGGCTGGCTCTGCACAACTTAGTGGAACACTTACGTATGACAAGCAGTCGTGGAAAAGCGTGTACAATCCGGAACAGCAAATGGATCATCACAGTTTGGCGCGAGTGATGCAGCGATGAGTGACAAGGGAATGTGGCTGATACTCGACTCTCAGAGGAAAGGCAAGACAGGCGTATATCAGACTGATGCTGGTACCATTGGTATTGGGACTCTGCACTGGCTGCTGAAGATGAGGAATGAGCGCTTATGGGAAAGTCCTGAGTGCTGTGATGTCGGTTCTTGAATTAACTCAACTCTCAACCTAAAAGTCTGTTTAACTGACAAAAATTAACGCCACCTACCCTTGTCCCCAAAAATGTAATGATATCATCATCATCAAGTGCTTTGCCTACTGGCGCAGGCGATCATGCCTCTTCATAGTCTACGATCCGCAGCTGCGTGTATCCGTTTGCGTGTTGACATCCCTCCCTGTCATGACAAGGCCGTTAAGAATCTTCTCGCGCTGTCTTCCTCTGTCTATCTTTCCACAGATCTTTCCGGTGGTCACAACATGTTCCAATTCCCCTCTTCTCATAACATGACCAATGATATACTTTACTATTTTACCAAACAATTACTATACCTTTATGCCAAGCAATAGTTAATTTTACTTACTAACTGATTTCATTAAGCAACACTCAGTGTTATCTGGTTTTTCCTAGTGACTTATTATCCAGATCACCTCTGGCAAATAATTTACATTCAGAATAAAACATTTGTAATATTCTCTTTTCTTTTACCCAAAGCATGACATAAAAGGTTCAATGTGCGATTATTGGCTTCATAGCACTAGGGCTTGTCCTGTTTGGCACGACTTCTCTCTGAAAAACGGCTAGCCGCGCCGACAGCGTTACACAAAGCACGAACTCTGTAGCTCCGCAACGATCGGCAGGGATTTCTGTAAAAATTGCACTTATAATCGAACGATGCCACCGTTAAACAAACCAACGACCTTCAGAAATATAAGAGAACGGCTAGACCGCTTCGTCACGGAGACACCCACTGACACTGGTTCTTAAGTGTGCCCACAGCAAACTGTCTTGCATGTTACCATTCATTGATTTGGCAGCCAACCCTCAGCACAAACTAATACAAGTATATCATTTTAAAAGGGCGAATGAACTGGTACGTTGTGTTGCGGTGTATTGCTAGGCGGTATCTGTGGCTTTAGCCCATCACATTCAATTGGGGAAAAAAACCTTAAATAAGTCGCATTTATACTACTATTTGGTACTTGAGTTTTAATTTATCCTAAACAAAGGACAACTGGAAGTTCCAAGAAAGTCCAATATGGCAGGGGCGTTATGGTTTGAAATGAATACTCAAGCTATAATTTCGAGAGACAATGAATGCCAGAGTGACCAGGCAGGAACATGAAACTTTTCTTCGTACTTTCACTTTAGTTCACTCCATCTAGGGAAAAGTTCAGTACTATGAGGTGGGGGAGGGGTGTTAGGGTATAGGTAACACCCTATATAATATTGGACTTCCCCAAGATAGGGTTAACTAAACTGAAAGTATCCTGATCATTGTCAGCCCGACCACCCTAACCCTAAACCCAACCCTATAACACATCTACAATGGTAGAATTTCCCGGGAACTCCTGGAATTCTTTGTCTGGATGAATTCAAATTGATGTACCGACTTTTTTGTTAAGGGAAAGTGAGTTTGTTTTCCCCGCTCAAAAAACTGGGATCCGGAACCCACAATGAGAAAACAAATAATCCTATGGAAACTATTATCAAATATACGTTCACAACAAACCAAATATTTGAGACAGGAGTCTGGCTCTGATTTCTCTGAAATGGGACTTGAAGTAAGCCCGACAGATGTCTTCCAGCACACAAGCGGAAATAGAGTTCAGTCCTGATGAAATAGTGCTGCAAAATTGTCAAATCCGCCTGAGTATGTAATCAGTTTAATTTAAAGATGAAAACAATTACATTGTGAAAAAAAGAAAAGAATGAAAAAGAATGGCGTTGATTGGACTATAAGAAATATCAAGTTTATCAGTCTGTCTGTCTGTCTGTCTAACTGTCTGTCTGTCTCACTCACACACACACACACACACACACACACACACACACACACACACATTCATACACAGACACACACACACATATACCTTCCGTGCCCCCCAAAATCAGTAACCTTTATATTTTTAAATCACTGTCAAAAATGATCTGTTTATTGAACGTAGTGTTTTTTTTTTTCCTTTTCAAGTAATCCCAGCAATGTTGAATTACATTCCTTTATATATTTTTTATCTTTTTAAATCACTGTCAAAAATAATATGTTTATTGAACGTAGTGTTTTATTATTTTTTTTTTCCTTTTCAAGTATCCGCAGCAATGTTGAATGTTGAATTACATTCCTTTATATATTTTTTATCTTTTTAAATCACTGTCAAAAATTCAAGAATCATCTGCTTATTGAACGTAGTTTTTTTTTCTTTTCAAGTATCCGCAGCAATGTTGAATGTTGAATTACATTCCTTTATATATTTTTATCTTTTTAAATCACTGTCAAAAATAATCTGTTTATTGAACGTAGTGTTTCATTTTTTTTTCCTTTTCAAGTATCCGCAGCAATGTTGAATGTTGAATTACATTCCTTTATATATTTTTATCTTTTTAAATCACTGTCAAAAATAATCTGTTTATTGAACGTAGTGTTTTATTATTTTTTTTCCTTTTCAAGTATCCGCAGCAATGTTGAATGTTGAATTACATTCCTTTATATATTTTTATCTTTTTAAATCACTGTCAAAAATAATCTGTTTATTGAACGTAGTGTTTCATTTTTTTTTCCTTTTCAAGTATCCGCAGCAATGTTGAATGTTGAATTACATTCCTTTATATATTTTTATCTTTTTAAATCACTGTCAAAAATAATCTGTTTATTGAACGTAGTGTTTTATTTTTTCCTTTTCAAGTATTCCTAGCAATGTTAAATGTTGAATTACATTGCTTTATATATTTTTATCTTTTCTAAATCACTGTCAAAAATCATCTGTTTATTGAACATAGTGTTTTATTTTTGTGCTTCTCAAGGATCCCCAGCAAAAGATTATATAACACAGTGTTAAGGTTGAGAAACGCTAATGTAACCAAAAATGTTTACCTCTCTCAGTACCAAAGATATAATTTAGCTCATTATCTCCCAGAAGTTTTTACACTAAGGTATAAACGTCTGAGTAACAACAAGTTAGAATAACAGCCATCTGAGAGACGGTGAGTTAAAGTAATAATGGCAGCAGCGAGGGTTAATATAACGATTGGATGTGGCATGATGAGGTAAGATAAATGTAAAGTGTAAGTTTAACTGAAAAACAAACACGGTGAGTTGCTTGTTATTGAATGAGTAACTATTTGGGTACCAAGTATTTCCTTATGCATTACATGGTCACTTTAAAAAGAACATACTTTTGTTGTATTCTTCTATAACGAATAATTGCAATCTAAACTTGGTGTAGGCTGAGTGGCCTGCTAGTTTAACTCCCCCCCCCCCCTGTCTCTTGTTGTTAATTCTCCAGACTGTATATTAAACACTTTTTATTTAAAAAAAAATTCTTAGAATAGTACAAGTTCAAACAATGACTATTTCGGATTTAAAGAGTTAAAGAGTGCTCATAATTACCTGAGAGCACCACTGAACAAGCCGGCAACAAAGAGGCCAGGTAAGCCAACGACCTGGCTTAAAATATCCATGACAAACAATGGCAGAAGCTGCAGAATTAGAGACAGGCATTGTTGTTAGCAACCATGCCAGTTTGTGTTCCGGGGTCATGTTGTGTGGGAGATCGGATGTGGGGTGGGTGGAATGCACAAACTGCCCCTCTAAAAAGCATGTCGAAAAAATGAACTAATTAGTGATGTTTTCTCGGAAGTCAGAATGTCTTTGCGTGAACCAGCAGTCGGCATACTTATAGGCAGAGGTTAGAATGTCCTTCTTCTTCTTCTTCTTCTTCACTTCCTCTTTTACCGCTGTGGGTGTCGAGGGAGATTTAAGGTTCTGTGTCTGGCTCTTCTGGCTGCCTCGACCATAGGCACATCGTGTTGTTGTAGAGTTTCTCTGATGTTATCCTTCCATCTTGTTCTTGGTCTACCCCGTGCTCTACGTCCTTCTTCTCTTTCCACGTATGCTTTGTATGGTATGGTGTCACAAGGCATTCTTTCTAAGTGGGCAAACCATTTCACTTGCTGTCTTCGTATGTAATCCAGAATTGGCTCTGTGCCTTATCCCATTATTTCTAGTCATCCACTTGTGGGATGCAATTTTACGTTATTTGAAGTCCCATCCTGGCTTTTGCCCAGGGGGGCCCTGAATATAGCTGGGCCACAAATGTGACCATAACGACTGAAAGGGGTTTCTGTGACCACTCCACGGGTGATCCTTATCCGCCTAGTGGCACTTTGTGTCACCGGGTGTTTACCGTTTGTGTGATGTCCTAGTGGTGTACAGCAAGCAAGCAGCAAGACCTAATACTTAAGGTCACAATTGATTCTCAGGCCATTGCCACCAATTCCCCAGTTAAGTCTCAAGTCATCAAGAATGCTTCCAGGTTGAGTCCAGTCACTTGAGGTTCCAAGTCATTTGCAAGCGATGCATGGGACAATACTTATGGATTAAATTAGTCAGTCTAACTACAAAAATAACAACCGACAGTTGTTAGATTTTGATGTTGCATGTAAACAGTGAATTAAGTACACACAACTGTCCATTGAAGGTGCTGATGTTTTTAACAAATTTGAAGAACACTTAACAGTTGTCACATTATTGTATTCTATTATTTCAATAATATATGTACTTCACATTTCTTTCAGTAATTCTGTTAAAAAAAACCACTAAGCTGTGTATCCTTTACAGGACGTTGCCGAACCAACCCCCCGTATTTAATGGCTTTTGTGGGTTTTTTTCTAGGCAAATTTTATATTCAGTAGTTTGATGTTGCTGACTGAACGGCCAGAATTCGATACCACTGTCGAAACCAGTACAAGACAAATCGTCCGCATCAGGGATCGAATCAGACACCCCGGTATTACGTAGTGCGTTCGCAACTCAAGTACCGGAACAAGGCGTAAGTCTAGAAGTGAACAAACAATTAAAATGTTCCGCTGAAACCTTTAGACGGTGAACACAAACAACAAAATCTATTTGGGTGTGTGTTTTTTAGTAAGCTTTTATTACGTTGGAAATTATTTGTCTGGGTAGCCGGCCCCTCTTCCCCCCCCCCTCCCCCACCCACACCAGGCTGCTACATGAGATTGCCAGTCCTGCCCTGGATGGTTTACCAGCAAGGCAAATCCCAGATACCATGTTCGACCTCTCAAAAAAATAGTAATACAAACACCATATTGTGTACATTTGCGTAGAATTAAGTGAAGCACATATGAGGAAAATGTTAACTTGTAAACAAAAAATATACAGTAATTTTCAATACTGGAGGGGAGCAGCTGGCCGAGCGCTTACAACATCGGGCTCTCATGTGGCAGACCCGGGTTCGACACTAGGTAAGGTGACAGAGTTTTCTGTCGGGAGCCAAATAAACATCGTTACGGGCATAGTCCGTGGCAACAGTACTAGCCATGTGGGCCTAAACCCTTTGGCTCCTAAACGTACCGCCCTAAAACGTTTTACAGACAGTAGTGACAGTTCAACACTGGAGAACTATAATTTGAATCATCTTTACCCGGACCGGACTGTAGTACTTTTGGTAGCCGATATGGGTGTCCTCTTTACATTTTTCAGGCTTTTATGTGTATTGGGCATTTTGGGATAAACCTATATTTTACAGACCAATTGGCACTCGGTGGGGGCAGCATCACACCTGTCGCTTTTACTTCATTTGACTGTACTTGTTTCAAGATCCCCCGCCGTATTTAAAATACAAGTTGACTGACTAACTGATTTTCTACCCCACCAGGACATCACACAAGCGATAAAAACCCGATGACACAAAGTGCCACCATGGGGGTGAGGATCCCCCGTGGAGAGGTCCCAGCCATTAGGCCATATTTATGGCCGGGCTATATTGCGGCCCCTGGCATGAGCCAGAGTAGGGCTTCACATAACGAAAAATTGCATCCTGAAAAGGACGGCAGGATTTGTGCATAAAATACAAGTTGAAAAGCACCGGGGATAATATGCAGCTTGTATTTTGCAATGTTTTCTAAAGACAAACTTGGCATATGGTTTAATTCTTGACATAAGGATAAATCATAAATACCTGATTAGAATCAGTCACAGCTTTCGTCGTTACTGGGTCACATTTCTCATAAAATGCTGCCATGAACATACCGATGAAGCAACACAGGTACAGAATAATACACAGCCCTGGAAAGTTGAGCCACATCGCACTGGGGGGAAACATACTAGGTACATTCTAAAGCGATCAGTAGACACTGTTAAATTATTTTTAAGATCTTTCCAATGAATTAGCGACATTTTACCTAGTGTCTGATTCGGCTTCTCTCCATAGAAAGGCTAACGTCTGAGTTATGTTTTGGGTTATCTTCACGGCACTCCGGAAATGTTCATAAGTGCTCAGATTCCCCTTTCAATATATATATCAGCGTCCCGGGATTGATAGTCTCGGTCCTGTGTTGGTTGACAAAACTTCTCGTGCGTCCGATGTGCTTCTCGAGCCTGGCCTTGCCGATCTTCACTCTCATTTGTTGCGCTATTAGCAAAGATGTGGATGTGCTGCTCCCAGAATCCGCCTATCGTCCTACCTCTCTAATAGCACTAACAATGGCTGCATGATCCATGATCGGCTCTCTGTAACAAAGGCACAGTCGGGTAATCTGTCGGCTCTTTCATGCCAACAACACCCGCATACCCTGAAAAAAAAAGATGAAGGTAACTGCACATACAGTGGACTTTTGCAATGACTTGATCCGCAGACTGTGTACAAAGTCTACCTCGACCCGCGTGATCAAGCTCATGAAATCACTCAGCACACACACGTGAGAATAGTCCTGCGATGCTAGCCACACGAAAGCTCGTGTTACCTCCATCATCTCCATTGTCAAGCTGCTAGTAGTCATAAAGAATTCACCACCGATCTCCTGGACTGTTATGCTGCAGAGCACGCAGTAAATGCCCATGCACTTTTTTGGGTGCCCGTACAACGGACCCATCTGTGTAGGTCAGTACATCCGCCTCATCTAAATGTTCACATAAAAGCGCGTGGACCTCTGCATTGACAGCAACTGGATTCTGCTCCTGACAGCTCCTTTTAAGTGTGACAACACAGGAAATGGTGCAGTTGAGCCTCTTGGGCACAGGTATCGATTCTTCGCCGAGGTTGATGTCTGAAAGTCTACATACCTGCATGCTGTTATAATCTGAGCTATCGAGCCACGATTTACCCCCTTTTACCTGTTGCTCTTTTCCCTAAAGAGAACATTGTACAGAGGGAGCTTCAAATTCAAGCTTATCTTCAGGTATGCACGAGTCCTCCAGATCCTCATCCTATGGTGCATTGTCGAAAAGTCAAGAAGCAGTCTCTGCTGGATGTTGGCTGTGGCCAGGACCCTCATTGCTGATAAGCCTTTAGGTGCTTTTTTTTTAACATGGTCGACGTGGTTTTTGAAGGACAGGCTGCGATCAAACTTCACACCCAGATATGTCATCTGGTGTGTTCTCGAGAAAGCTTCGTGGCTAATTTCCACCACTGGTAGGTCTGCCTTAAAAAAATGCGTGTTTAAGGAGAACCATGTTACTGGGGCTTTTGAAGTGGTGACATGGGCACTGGAGTCCACACACCAGGAGGAGATACGATCAAGTTCGCCCTGCATTGTTTGGCAATCTAATGACACTTTCTTCCATGTCGATAGACCA